TCTTGATTCCTTTTATTTTCAACCCCTTTTGGGAATGGTGCCTATATTTCTACACATCCTTCAAGTAATTCTATGAGATCTGTGAAGTCATAAATAAAGTCCCTTCCAGTTATGCAGTTCTGTTCTATAAAACTGGTCTTACCTTTCAGAGATGTACCCCAAAACACTGCATCTGATTCAAACCTAGGAACAAGAGAATGGACAGCCAGGGATTTTGCTCAGTGGTTTTGCCACTTGCTCTGCAAGCACAAGGACCTGAGTTCAATCCCTGGTACCCAAAAACAAGGAGAAGGAAAGAGAGAACGGACAAAGGAGAATGAAAAATAGAGCAAGGTTTTGAGCCTAAGAAACTGTTTATACAATTAAAAGATTAAGAAAGATGATGAAAGAAGCAAGTTCAGGGAAAGACAATTAAGTAAAAATAAATGGACAAAGTGAAGCCTCTGAAATATTCCAGTACTGTGTGTACTAAATGTGTAATCCACATATTCCATCACATCGTGACAGAAAAATGCTGAAATCAGGGTTATCTGTTGGCTGGTGACTTTCAGCCTTGTGTAAATAGAGAAAAGCCCATTTGAAATTTAGAACCACAAAATGTTTCAATTCTAACTGGTCTACAGATTACCAACTTCAATCCCTCATGTTAAATTGTAGATACCACACCTCTGAAAATCTAAGAAATATATTCTCTATCCAGTTGGATTCCACATCTCTATCTATAGATTTTAAAAGTCTAGATTTCTTTTTTTAAAAAATGAATTTTATTGGTACATTTTATGTATACAATGTAATGACATTCATCATTGGAAATTTGCACCTTTACACAATCTCTCTTGGTTCTTATTTTTTCCCCACTCCCCTGCCCTCCCTTCAACCCCTCCATCCTCCCTATTTACAAAGACTTTGTTTCTAAAACATTCAAATCTGGAATAAAGGCTGCCACTTAAAATTTCCAGAAAAAAAAATTCCAAAACCAATCTCAACTAAGTATAATACAAGAGGGGCACTTTGTTATGACATAAGGCAAGACCATAATGTTTTCTCTTCAGAGTTTTGAAGAATGAATTTCACTCTTTAGCAGGCTCTGGCATGTTTTCACATTATTTTTAACCTTAGTCCTTATAATCTTAATTTATCTTAGGAAACTTGTGCAGATCATTAAACTATAAAAAACAAAGAAGCACATGGCTATTTTATTTGGGTTGGTGAATTAGTTCCCACAAGCCTGGGTTTCCCTTAAGATATTTTGCCAGTCTCTGGCCCTCTGATAACAATATCTATTCTGTGTCACAGAAAGATCTCACAGGACGCTGTTTGGAATCAGCAAGTCATATATATATATATATATATATATATATATATATATATATATGTAATCTTTTCCACTGCTTTATTTTTTTATCCATCTGACAATGTCAAGGTGGGGTTGAAAGAAGAAAAATTTGGAACCAATCCTATTTGAGACTTATTTCTTGCAAAACAAACTGTTTTGAATAATCTGAAAGTTAATGTAATTTTGACATGTCATTTATTCAGAGACTCAAATTAAATAAAATTTTCATTAGGGAGTTGCCGTAACAACTGGGGTGTCAGCTGCTATAACTTCAACTTTAAATACTGAACTCAAACACAGGCTTCATGTTCCAATTCATACTGAAGCTTTATAATATATGGCCTTGGAGCAGAGGTATAATGATCTCCTGGGAAAGGTGAGATCCAATTAAAATTCAGTTTGCTGTCTTTAGGAAAGACATAGGCAGTTATATACCCTTTGAGAGGGTCTTAAGAAATACACACCTGAGCTTTAAATGGCTACTCATTTGACTGTGAAGTTGAATTTCAATTCATCCGGGAGCCAGAGCACAAGAATGAATTCCAATAACAACACTCTGATATTTCCTGGTGTGTTACCAGGGAAAAAAGAGCTCCAGGATAATGAATGCCTTACACATTTGCAGATATTGCCAGCCACTTATAAAAACAAGGCTATTGTTATGCATAAAAGTCATTCCTTTTAGGGAAAGCTTAAGAATGAATTGAAATGTGGCTAACATTTCTACCACCAGATAAAATGCTTTTTTTAAAGATCATATTTAAGTTCGCTCAGTTAAAAAAAAAAAAAAGGAAAGAGAAAAAAAGAAAAGAAAAAGGAAGGGGAAAAAAATCTATAATCCACTATTCATAAGCAATTCCAGATACTCCATCCATAAAATAATTCACTGGAAGACATTATACTTCTAAGCACAAAAGCTATCAGCAGCCTTTCTAATTCTCTTTTAGTTCACCAAGGAAATTATTGGCCATATTTTGCAGTCTCCCATACTACTTTTTAAAGACAAAAATACACAGTAGATTGAACAGAAAGCATACAGAGAAATGCTTTCTTTTTTTCCCGCCCCCATTAACTTTATTGGTACATTTTAGGTATAAAATATAGTTACATTCATCATTGGGATCTTATACCATTACATGAGTCTCTTGGTTCTTATTTTTTTTCCCCTTTCCTTGCCCTCCCTTCACCCCCTCCACCCTTCCCTATTTGCAAAGACCTTGATTCCATTTTGTTTCCTCTTCTCATATTTTTTCCTTTCCTTTTTTTCCCCTCCCCTACCCCTCCCAATCACCCTGCTCTTTTAGATCTTTTCTTCCTGTTACACAATATCAGTTATACATTTTTTAAATTACAATATTAAGATCTAGGAGACATTACCACAGATTTTACAGAATTTAAAAGGATATAGAAAGAGAAATGCCTTCTAATTCATTCTTTAGTTGACCACTAAGATGAAACTCACCAGCAATACACAAGAACCTTTCCACCCCCACTTTACTCTGGTTCTTTTGCCTGCTTCTTTTTCCCAAGGATTCAATATACTTTAAAAAATATTTTTTAAAAGCTATTATATTGCCTCACTATTCCATTTCCCTGTCCTACTTTGCATTATGATCAATTATAACTGTTTTGATGTGAGGTCAAAAATAGATGGATACAATAAGATCAATAAGTTTAGTGTAAATCCATATTTAGGTACCTCATGGCATTGTACTCACTGTGCTTTAGTTACAAAGCTCATTTGTTCCTTCAACAAATTTATTGAACAGCAGTATTAAGTTAAAGAAATGCAAGACAGTGTAATAAACTCCAAATTTCAGTGACGTGATAACTTAATTTTCACTTATGAAAAGAGAACACAATGAATGAATCTCAGGATTCAGAGCCAGAATCATTACACGTCATGGGCTCACCATCTTTTGAGATTCCTAGTCCTCTATATTGGTCCAAAACAAGGATGCTGTACTTGTTTCCTGCCACCTGGAATTAGCCAATCACAAAACCACGCGTAGGTGCAAGATAGTTGAGAACTGTAGTTCCTGATGTGATTGGTGGCCACTGTCTTGTGACGTCACATTCTTGAAGGGGCCAACTGCACAGTTATAATAAGAAACTGTATAATATTAAAAGAAAAAACAAGTGAAGTGAAGATTTTATGTTGTAGGAGCATGAGCTTTAGCAAATTTTGCAAAAATCTCATTTTCTTATTTTATACTTATTTAAAAGCTTATATGTCAGACTCATTATGAGTTCAGAAAGCACATAAGTGGTATTTCAGGACACCTACCCTGGAGTGTGAAATGTCCAAATTCATGCTCTTTCCTCCTGAGCTCTACAGTTTTCCAATCACTGAAGGCAGAAGCAGGTTTGATTCTCCCGAAAGTTGATAGCACAGGGCAGAGCCCACAGCAGAAAATTAAGAAATGTGTATTATATCAAGCAGAGGCCCAGCACCTACTGGTTTTGTAACCAGTGGTCATAAGTTGTGTAACTATTGATCATAAATTAAAGCCTGCTTTTTGCCACACAAAATGATGTATGCCAAACATCTATAAACAAAAGTTTTTATAAAATACGAGATGCCTGTATTAAAATATTGGTTAATTATCTAAGAGGAAAGCTGAGTCACTGAGATGAAAATGAAAATTTATTTGAGCAGCTGAGAACATGAGGATTAATGGGAAAAACTCATTTGAAAAATAGGAGAAATCAAAATGTCCAAAGTTAGTCAACCTAACACTTTAATCAGAATGTTCTATCAAATCACCCTATATGTGTACCCTCTAATTTGCATAGCTGTCTTGCTTTGGGTGAACCATTCCCAGTTTGATGAGTTTTTCCTCTGGGAAGAAGAACACAGGAAAGATTCCTCTAATTTTTGTTTCCTTTGAAAATCCTCCAAAGTTTAATCTTTGTCTTGGAGCAGAAAAGAGGCAGTTTCCCAAAAGAGATGTGGTTTATGTGCATCAGGAACTTGAATATGAGACAGAATTGGGGTTACACAATCTCTATAATATGTAAAAATTCTATGAGAGGAGAGAGATTGCCTGCAGTTTTCAAAAGAAGTGAACTTTTAGCTTGGCTTCATAGACATGTAAAATTAATTGAGGTTACCAAGTTGGGAAGAAAAAGAAATTACCTTTGGAAGTATATGATCTACTGAGCTAGTCAACCAACAAGTATGTTAAGAGCTTCAATTCACTATCCTGTTCAAAGGACATGTTACAGAGGTTGCAAGACTGAATCCCACAGAGATCAGCAGCTAAGAACAGAAACAAAGAACAACTGGCATATGTGGAGCACCCATCTGTGCCTGGCATCGTGCTGAGCTATTTGGATTATCTCATCTGGCATTAGCAATTGCAAAGCACTTAGCCAGGTGCCTGGCACAGAAAGTGTGAGGACTAAGTGGCAGCTGTGATTAAAATGCCAATTTTTTATGGAGGTTATTACTACTTCTGCTTTCAAAGTAAGAAAAGTGAGGCATAGTTAGGCTAGGAGAAGCTGTGGAAGGAGGGCTTGTACCACTCCAAAATGCATATGTTGAAATCTAAACACAAAGCAGATGGAATTACAAGTTAGGGACTTCAGGAGGTAACTAGGTCACAATGGCCTCACCCTCATAAAGGGGATCGGAGCCTTTATGAAAGAGGCTTGAAAGAGCTCATTCACCCCTTTAGCTACACGAGCAGATAGCATTCAAGGTATCATCTTTGAAGCAGAATGTGAACCCGAAGGAGACACCAGATCTATGGTGCCTTGATCTTTGACTTCTCAACCTCCAGAACTGTGAGCAATAAGTGTTTGTTGTTTATAAATTACCCAGTGTAAGGTATTTTGTTGTAACAGCTCAAACATGCTACAACAGAGAACATATGCCAAGCTCCTTAGCTGGAGAAATCAGACAGGCACAGAGAAAGTTTTACAGCAATAAGTTCTTGGGAAAAATGGTGGTCAAAGCCCCTATCTTGCTGTCCCCCATGAGGCCCCATTCTAATTCTAATCAATCTCAAACCACATGTATTAAGCAGAGCACTTTTGGGAGCAAGGTGGTAGGGAGGGAGTGGAGTTTGCATTCAAGGCTTCCCATCTTCTGGGATCCAGCTGGAGAAAGCCAGTGATAAGGTGATTCCCATGACCCTGGGATCAAGAATCAGAATGCCATGCATCCTGGAGAGACTGAGGCCCTGAGTGATAGAACTGCAAACCTCTAAATTCAGCTAGCTTACATGGTCATCTTTGGTGGACCTGCCAGCTTTCTTGGCTTTGGAGAAGTTTAGAAGGGGTGGAAAATGTAAGTTCAGGTCCATTCCACCTTGAGACTGACTGATGAAGCATGTTGTAGCTTTGTGGAAAGAGACTTCCTCTAGATACCTTAGCTGGAAACTGACAGTTTGGTAGCATGGACTGAGATTGCTGAATCTCCTTCCATTCCTGCAGCTCCATGGTTCCAGGAAATATCCCAGGCAACTAGGACCAAGGATGTCATGAAAATCACAACTATCTCAAGAGGACTCTCCAGACAGAAGGAGGAAAAACAATCTACACACTACAATGAATATTTTATCATAAAGCAGAGTTGTCCCCTTAGATCATGACCTGACCTGCTTAGGAGATGGACAACAAGTTTAACAAAATATAAAAATGCATTTAAAGGTTGAAAAATAGTACTCCAATAAGTTTCCATATGTTATGGCTTATATCTAGATATCCCCCCAAAGCTTCATGCTGTCATAGGTGGCTGGGTCTAGGGTGTGTGGTGCTGGAATCAAGAGTATGTGACTACTAAATTAGTCCACTGATTGGTTTAGCATAGTTCTGGATGTGGATAATGGAAAGGCCCACCCTGGGTGTGAGTGGCACCACTCAAAAGGGCAGTAGTCCAGGAGGGATAAAAGGGATGGTAGGCTGTTTGCTATTTGCTGCTGCTGCTGCTGCTGCTTGCTGCTTTGTGGTCACTTGCCTGCTTGCCATGGACTATTTCTTCTCTGTCTTGCCACCCTGCCTGGGAGCCAGTCAACTACAGACTGAAACCTCTACAAACTATGAGCTGAAATAAACCTTTACCTCTTTAACTTTGTTGAGTACTTTGTCTCAGCAATGAGAAAAGTAACTAAGACACCAGAGTCCAAAATCATAGTCTTTAAATTGTTTAAAAATGCAATCAAGGAAAGGATAGCCCCAAATGAGAAAGGCTCACTAATAGTATGAGACAGTGTAACTATTGATTCTCAAACTGAGCTGATCATTAGCACAGCTGCTGACCATCAGACTCATATGGGATGTCTATTAAAATACAGCTTTTTCAACTCACCCAGCCCTAAAAAATCAGAAACTCTGAAAACAGAGTCAATGAAACTACATTTTTATTTGAAGTGACTGGTGGTTTTGCTTGATGGGAACTGATTACAGGGAATTGTTCGGGTTGGCAGCATATATTGAATGATGATGAAGGTGTGAGATCATCATGTCTGTAAGGATGGTTGGAAAGGCTTCAGCCTCTTGAGAGGTGGCAGATGAAATGGGTTGGGGGATAGGTAGATGACCTAAACATTTGAAGCAAAGATTGATGAATGTTTTGTCTCCCCGATCCCAGCCTTTTACCAGATATAGTCACAAACATTTGTCACAATTGTAGATTGAATATCGTCTAAAATTTTCATATGTATAAGTCTAACCTTAAATAATATAAAGCACATCAGTAAATAAGAAGTTGAGTTATTGCAATTTGTGGGAGTTTTAAAAGTCTGTCCAGCTGGTGCACATTTCTTTTATTCTGTATGCACGTGTTTGCTAACTGAAATACCCAAGTTAAATTTTTGCAGTCTTATTTTTTTAACCACTGATAATAACTGTGGTCTATTTCTCTCACAATGTTCCATTTTCAGGAAGTCAGATCAGTTTTGGCAAGGTATGAGTGAACAACAGTGGAAATAAATGGATACTTGGAAGACAAATATACACTGGTGTGCTCAGCTGATACGATCACTGTGGCATATTTTTTCTCCACGTTCCCTGAAGTACTCCATGAAGGGAGAGAGCATAATACTTCTTAGCTTTTTTCCCTTCAAATGGCTTCTTCTGAGTCACTGATATAAAATAATAGGATCAAAGATTTCATGGATCAAGAAAGATGATTTCTAATAAATTTCAGTAGGTTATTTATTTGGAGTTATTTGTTTTTCCAAAAGATGCAATGGATTTGAACTAAATGCATTCAAAAACTTTCACCCTTATTTACTCAAGGTAGCTCAACTCTATGAGGCTGACCTTTGTCATTGTCAGGTAAAAGGCCAAAAACCAAGACCAGACCAGGCCACAACAAGCCTTTATTAGGGAAACAGATCTGCCAGTCTGTCTCTGAACAAAGGAGAGACAAAAAGCAATATGGCCGGGATAGGGAGAGTCTTTTATAGAGACTGGGGTGGGGTTTGTAGGGGCTGAGGCGGGGTTGAGTGAGGTAGTGACTAGGGAATAGAGGAGCCGGTGACATCACTAAATGTTAGGAGGTGAGCGAGTATTGGGTTACTCTCTAGGCAGGAACAGGTGCATGCTGGGAAGAAGGGTTTGTTCTTTGGTGGGAGCAACCATCTTGGCATGATGTCACACAGGGGAGGGGGCAAGGCACAAAAGGAAGAGGGCAGCTACTATACCTAATAGCTGCTGAGGTAGTGAGAGACCTATCAGTCATGAGATCCACAACACTGCTAATTCCTCAAAAGAAATAAATTCAATATTTCTGTGTATCTGGACCACAGAGAATCAGTTCTATGAAATCATCTGTGACAAATGGGAAGCACACTGCCATCAATTATGAATGTGATGCACATGTTCCACAGCACCTGGAATGGCTAGGGACACATTAGCACATCTGAGCTTCTGGGAGCCTTTCCTTTTAAGACAAATTCTTCTAACTTTCCTGAATATATGTAAGTATTGCATTAGTTTCCTAAGCTGACTTAGCAAAGTACCACCCACTGGCTGATTTAAACCACAGAAATGAATTGCCTCAAGTTTTATAAGTTAGAAGTCCAAAATTGAAGTATTGGTGGAGTTGGCTCTTCTGAATGTAACAGAAATTAGAGAGACAAGAGTGAAGATTCTATTAGACAGTAAGGACAGCACATCGAAAATGGAGTCAAGAAGCACAAAATGGAATCTGCTGAGTCACAACCCTCCATGGATCTTACAAAAACATCTGCCAATTGTCCTTTGGCTATCTGACAAAATGTGATCAGAGAGGCCATTGGCTCATTGCATAGGCCCTGAATGGACACTGTATAAACACTATATAGATTGGACACTAGAAAATATAGGCTCCTATAGGATAGAGATTACATTGCTTCCATAACCACCCATTAAACCCTTAAGAACCTCTCATGGGTATCCTATTTAGAATTCCCTCCTGGCTAGCAAGAGCTTTACTTCCATGCCTTTATATCATCTACTTTCTTGCCTTTATATTTTAAAAATAAATTTGGTTGCACCCTACCTCCTCTGTCTGTGGTTTCCTTTTTGGTCACCATGAAACTTGACCCCAGCAACACGAGGACCATGAGGGAAAGATCTTTCCCAGGCTTCCCTCCTTGGCTTGTAGAGAGCTGACATGGAGCTCTTGCTGTAGAGCTGTCTCCACTGTCTACCTTTATATACAGACACCATCATTTGGATTAGAGTAGAGGCCACCCTACTGACTGCACTGTAACTTGATTATCTCTATAAAGGCACTATCTCCAAATAAGGTCATATTGTAAGGTACTGGAGCTTAGAATTTACATATGGATTCATAGGGGACAGAGGTGGGGACAATTCAATACCACTAAGCCCTTTTTCACCTGTCATCAATTAACAGCCTGCAGAATACACTTGGAGAAATGTGACTGAAGCTTTACAGGTACTGTACTCTGTTTCAATGGCTCCCAAATGCTATTTGCAGAATATATGTGACATCACTGGAACATTTTCTTTTTAATTCTAGATTCGAAGGTCCCCAGGACCTCCAGTGAGTCACATCTAAGGAGCAACTCAGGAACTTGCTGAGAGTCCTAAATCTCTGCCCAGAGTGTTCTGATGTGTGACCAGGGTGAAGTTTAACAGCCAGATAATTCTGCTTTCTTACTTTTTAGACTTGATTTTGGCCAGAAATTTCAGAAGAGCTTCCTAAGAAGTGTTCTTCATCTTTAAATAATATAAACGTAAGACTGCTTTCTCATTTCTGCTGCTCATGTATGTATGTATGTATGTATGTATATATTTTTGTGGTATTGAGAGTAGAACCCAAGGTTTTCACACTAAGCTAACTCTGCAGCCTATTTATCTATTTACCTTATTTTGAGACAGGGTCTCACTAAGTTGCTCAGGCTGGACTCATACTTGTGGTCCTCCTGCCTCAGCCTCCCAGAGTGTTGGATTATAAGCATATACTACTATGCCTGGCTTCATCTCTGCTTTTATCACATTCTCTATCTGCCCATGTTGTGGCACAAACTACTTGATGTGCGTACAGAAACCAGCCTTATTCTCATTCATCCTTTTGTTTTCAATGTCTACCAGAGACCCAGCACATAATTAATATAGTCAATAACCATTTATTGAATGAGTAAATATCTACATTAATATGCAAAAGTACACTTGTGCTATTGTAAAAAAAAGTGTTCTGTATATTGATATCCCTTTATTCTTGAGAAAGTTCACCTTCATTTAAGATTATGAAACATGAGCCATGCAACTGTCTTTCCCCCTCTTCTACTCCAGCCCCCTGATGTCTTCCTTTTGGTTTCAGGACACATCATACATATTCCAGCCTGAAGGACATTTCTGTACATACTACTTTAGAACTTCCCCCATTCAACCTCCAGTTGCTACCACTGTTTCCAAATGGACATTTGTCCTGTCCTTCAATGCTGTTGGAATGTTCCCATTCAACATTCTGCATAAAATGCTTGTTTTTCCATTGAAAAACAATCATATTTGTAATAATTAGTTCAATACTTGCTCACTCTGTCAGATTCTAAGGTACATGTGAGTACCCTTCATATCCATTGTGTTCAGTTTTGAAACATCAGAAATACGCATACAGTAGGAAATCAAACACTGAGTGACGGATTATACATTTTACTATGGCAAAATGCTTTGCTCCACCATTAAACTAGGAGCTTCTGTGGATCAGGGACTAGGTTTAATTCATTTTTCTATTTTTGCCACATGGCACAGTGCCTGGAAGACAGAATGTATCTCATAAATTTCCTTTAAACTCTTCAGGCCCTTGTTTATTTTTGTGTTTGTTTAGTTTTGCCTAGACAAAAGTGTGGGAGAGAAATTTAAAACAAGGGTAGATGTTGGTAGTGATATAAAAGTTTTTTTCTTTCTTGCCATTAGAGCTCAATCTTTAAATATCTTAAAAATAAAAATAAACCCAAACAACAGGGAATATTTAATAGAATTGAGGCACTCCCGTACAGCTGAAATATTTTTGAAAAAACAGAAAATGATAATGAGCAAGGTAACAGCTTAAAAGATAGTTTTCAAATTGTCAAAAGATCATTTCAAATACAGCTTTTGGCATACTTTCGCATTGAGAAACTGGAGCATTTAGCAAATGGCAGTTCCATCAGTTTTTGATTTCTAAAGGCAGAATCCAGCCCAGCTGCAGCCCAGCTGGAACTGGTTGCGAAGACATTACTTCCGGTTACACAAGGGATGGGGACCTTAGGGACTCTAACCACTCCTTCTCCTGAGAATATTGTCCAACTCCCCATTGTTTCGCTCTTTCAGTGACAACCTTCAGCAGTCAAGTTGTTTCTTCTCATAATATTAAAAATGGGCTTTGTGGTAATGAGCTGTCCCTGCTTCTAAGGAAAGATAAAGGGAAGAGGCACCTATTTCTCTGGGGCAAGTGGAAATGTGTCTCTTGTTTCTTCCCCATTATCCCTACTATACAGAGCTGGTCCCAGGGAAAGGAGGACAAATTTTGCATTAGACCAAAGAATGGAAGAAATACATATCTCATTATTTTTCTTTAAAATTAAATGGATTTTTAACATCTTTAGTGGATGGAGATTATACCAGCTGAGGTATTTCAGCAAAGATCCTTCTTAGGGAAAGAATGTAGACCAGTGATGAAGTCTGAACATCAGGAGGGTCTAACTCAGAGGAGCTAAGACTGTAAATATCTTCTGATACAAATGAGGGAAGTGGCTTGATGTTTTGTGAGAACAAGATCTCTCTCAGGGAGAGAGCTGCCACCAGAGCAGCACACACATGCACACCAACCTAGAAGGACTGCACTGAGGTAGCATGCAAGCCACAATCCATCACTGACCACTGACTGCAGTGACCTTTGGTCAGAGTGGTTCCTGCAAGTCTAGGCCAAAACAAAGAGAAGAGAGAAACCAATAGGGAAAAAAAAGTGAAAGTTTCTGTGATCAGCTTAAATATTTTCAGAACAATCTTAACTTTTAATACTTTAGGTTAATGAATGAACCATGAATCATCAGCATAGCAATAGTTGCCTGTCTCTGCTATAAGGTGACCACAAAAATAGGGCTTAAAACAATACAAATATATGATTCTAGAGTTCTAGGGGTTACAAGTCCACAACTGTTGTCTTACTGGGCTCAAATTAAGGTGTGGCTGGAGCTGAGCTCCTGTGGAAGGTGTCTGGGGAGAACGGCTTCCCTGCCTTCTCACCTTCTGGAAGCTGTCTACAGTCCTTGTCCACTGGCTTCTTCTAACCACTCAGCATTTTCAAAATCTCTCTCCCTCTTCTCCTTATTCTCCCTCTTTCTCTGCTGTGAGAGTCAAGTCTCCTTTGTAATCTGATCCTCCTGCCTCACCACTGTAAGGCCCTTTAAATAACGTCTGCCCATAGTTTCCCATCTCAAGATCTGCACCCTTAATTCCATCTGCAAAGTCAATTTTCATATGTAAGTAGTACACTCACAGATTCCAGGGATTAGAGTTCAGACACCGTGAGAGGAGGGCATATTGTACCCCAGGCCTGCGTCATCATCTTAACCATGGTAAATTATTGGCATCTGTCATCACCTTAGGAGACAGCAGAGCTTTTGAAAAGAGCACAGGTCAGAGTAGGTCAAAGGACAACAATCACTTAA